TCGATTACAGCTTCATTGAAAAACCTTACAGTCCACATCATTCTCTTGCTTTTGCTCCAACAAAAAATCAAGTTATTCTAGAATGGAATCGTTTTCTTCTCTGCCAACTTTCGCTTGTTTGATTTTTCAGACGCTTTTAGGCGCAATAATTAAAAAAGTAACAATTAAGATTATATGTATATAAGACCGATGGTCGTTTACACTGTTTTTAAATATAACTTCTGAAAAAAATAAATGGCATACATATATAAAAATACATGACCAATATACCAATATATATATATATTGGTATATTCGTCATGTATTTTTATATATGTATGTCATATATTTATATTTATATATACATATGGTTTCCTTGCTGTTTTGGTCGGATATTTTTTGTCTAAAGTTATAAAAAGGTCATATTGTGTAAACGACGTTCAGTATTAACAGCTACTTGAATAACTAACCACGGCATTCATAATTCGGTAAAAAAAATAAGAAGCTATTAAGTAAATTGAATATATATTAAAGAAAATGTGATAAACTAATCCTAAAATTGGCGGAAAGCCAAAACTAGTTTGATAGTGCAAAACTGGGAGGACAGGCGAACCCCGATGATCGAAAAAGGCCCAACTGACCATAAATAAAATAATATAAAACGGTCACCACTTGTTTCTACAGAAATAGTATCTACACTAAAGGTCAAATAGCATTCGTTTAATTAGTAAAGAACTTGAAAAGCATAATAATAATAATAGTTAGTGTTTGCGTAGTTTAAACTAGAAATCCACACTAATTTATAATATGTACGATCTATATTCTAAATAAGTAATCGTCTCTCTAGAACATTCCAAAACACAGTAAATTTTGTCCATTTCTTCATGTAAAACATTTGCTTAGGAATAATATTTTAGATTTCTAATCAAAACAAATTGTCTATTGGAAGCGTTTGTACAAATATAAATTTAAAAAATAATTATGTAAAATTGAAATAATTGTTATATTAATTTTGCGAATCAATATCATCTTTGTTAATTCTGTTACAAATGCTAAAATGAAATCACATTATGTTTTGAAAAACAAAAAATTCAATTGTTCCAAGTATTTATGTAGAAATCGTGAGATGCGGTCTGGTGTGATGTAGGTTTCAGAAAAACATTTTCATTATCGTGCCAACGTTTCGATCTTTATTGAGATCATCTTCAAAATAGCAAAATCTCACTGGCACTATCGACACGACACGCAAGAATGGCACAATTACACAGCAGACAAACACTTTGAGTGAGTAGAAATACTTTGATTGAATATATAAAAAATATATATATTTTGCATTGTATAAATTCACTTTTCCACATCCAAAATGTAATTGTAATATGTAAACAATGTTTGTAAATCCCAGGCCCTGAAGATGATCTCAATAAAGATCGAAACATTGGCACGATAAAGAAAATGTTTTTCTGAAACCTACATCTCACCAGACCGCATCTCACGATTTCTAAATAAATATCAGAGAGATGAGAATGAGGCGGAGAGAAAAGAAAAGCATTCTCGGTATGTAGCTACAAGCTCTCGTAACAAACGATTCAACTGCTTGGCTGCTTTACAATAGAAGCGATAGGAATTTGAATTCCTTTGACCCTTACACTGTAAAAAAACCCGTGGTTTCTATATTAGTTGTAAATTCGTGACATCTCCGAATCTTAACGTACAAATCCTTTTTCAAAAGTGGTCAATTGTTACGAAAGAAACATAATTTGCCAGCTGATGGTGCTTAAGTAGATTGTTTGTCGAGGGTTGTTAGAAATAACGACGTATGTAGATGCCTTCAAAATTCAGCATCTCGTTACCGCGAATTTGCTATCTAATTCAAATAACATTTTACTGATCTTTCACCGTTTCTCCAGCTAAAATTTATTAGACGAATTATGAACGAGAATACATTCACAACTATCATAAATATATAGTAGATATTTATTTATTATATAATACGAAAACTACAAAGAAAAAGACCAAAATTCTTGAAGTGCTGATCATAAGTCAACAAAATCGACTAAAGGAAATTGTTATAGCTATTATAATTAAATTTATAATTAAAATAATATAATTCAAATTTTCTTGTATTCATTTGATTAAAATTCATGGTGTAAATGGCTAGGTGTTAGAAACCACGTATACACATTCTTTAAGTGAACTATTAGCAGAAATATTCTAAGTAACATATATTTAACGAACATAATTCATTAGCTCTGGTATAAATTCCTGATGTCTAGGAGTCGATTTGTACTCGTATTGAGCCCCTCCATACGTTTTGAAAAGGCCCCAAAACTAATTCAAAGTAAGCCTTACCTTAGTTTGGCGCGTTTCAGAGTCCTCGATGTTACACTGAATGCCCGCTTACATTCACACTAATAAATTCAGTCATATCGAATATAACCTTTTACACCATATGAACAGCTGAAAATTGGGGAGCCATTGAAATATTAATATTACGATGTGCCTCCCCCTTTTACTCTCAAGGTTTATTCAACCATTCTGGCTATGAAATGCATTCATTCAAGAACAAAAAACATTCAAACAAAAACCTAGTTTGGTGGGCCGATGAGGTACTCTATATTTCGCCACAATCTACCAACGCATTCTCAACATACACTAATCAATGCATTAATAGGAAAGCATGGGAAAGCATCAAATGAGATCATTTGCTTCAATATTCGATAAATTCGATATCAGCTGCCATCACTGCTGTGTTTTAGTACCTTTTTGAGACTCGAAGAAAGGACAGATATAGTTTAATTTGTCGCACGTTGTACGCAATCTATCGGTATATGTTCAACTGTTATTTGTTATCCGCATAGGGGACATAACCGTGGCTTTTGTTAATTACGAGATGCGCCAGTCTGGTGTGGCCTATTTGCAGTTGAGTCACACTGTTTTCTGTATTTTATTCATCCTCCCCATGGCTCTCGATTTGACCGATTGTTTCACTTCTTTTTATATGATGGTCATTATACCAAGGGTTTCTGCCAATCTCCCAAGGGTAAATTTGAGACATAATTTATCTCCTTGTCAGGTAGCATGCTGCTCGTTGGTAGCTTGATCGGCATTCTCCTTATCTTCTATGTCTACATGACCCGCAATCAATGTAATAAATAGTTACTTTTTTGTTTATTTATTTAACTAATCTTGTGTTGTATTGCTTGGGTTAGTAGAACCGTGGAAAAGATATCACGGATGGCTAATTGTAAGGCTGCACTGAGTCGGTGTGTACACTATATTGGTTGCACCAAATCTTGTTCGATCTCACTCAGCGGAGATGATATAGCCGGCAACTCAGCCGTAAATACACTTGCAGCGCTTGGGAGGGAACTTTTTATTTTTCATCTAATATCTATTATAATTTCATTATTAATTTTTATTTATTTAATTTCAATTGTTTATATTTATTTTAATTTTAAATAACTCAACTTTCTAAATGTGTCAAACTTGATTGACCTTGTTCTTTAAATGTGTTTTGTGCTAATCATTCATTGTGCTTTAATACAAAAAGATTTTTTTTTCATATCCTCTTAGGGTAACAATAATAATAATAAAATATATATCAAATTTTTTTTTATTGGTTGTTATAACTTGCAAAAATGAATATATTACTCGGATACGACAGATAAACCGCTTTAGTACAACGTAATTGAGCCGGCAACAATTTAGATCATTATGCTTATCAGAAGATACAGTGCCGACGTCAATACGGAACCCAGGTAAATCAAGTGGAAACAATTCAAAGCCGTAAAGGCGATACTTCCGTAAAGTGTGAGTGCTGAGTGGGTCGTCAAAATGTTTTATTTATAGCAATTGAATCAAGCAAGAAGGTTTACCTTTTCTGAAACCATGATGGGACAATTTGTTCAAGGGGGAAGCTTGGTGATTTATGCTCGGAAATTTACTCAGGGTCTAAAACAGCCTATTTCCTTTTGTAAATAATCTAACAGGACCGAAATTAGATATTTAAGCCGAAGTTGTAGAATTGCTGTGAAACTAATGGCAACTTAACAAGTGACGTTAAATAATAATTTTCTCAATTTATCCGGTGCTGTTATGTTTTATCTTTGTATTTAAAGAGTTAGATGTAAAACGTAAACAAGAATTATAACAAAAATTTACCTTGTATATCTCTGTTATTTCCTGGTAATTCAGTCGTTACTTACCATTACACTCTCAACTTCGCTGTTTAGGTCAGGCCCATTTTGGCATTTCGCTTCCATTATCGTTCCGTAATGGGCATAATCCGGTTGGGACAATGATGCAAAACAAACACTGACGATGACAAAGGGGGTCGTAACGAGTGTTAGTAATCAAAATCGCAAAGATAGGGATTAGGGTAACGGAAATGAACAAATTACAGATTTTTTCCTCCCCCCTAGATCTCCAAAAGAACTGAATTTCTGAATTTGTTCATCGATACAAATTTCCGTTTAATTACTCATCACTGTGACAATAATTCTCATTCATCTAAAATTTCTTTTCTTTTTTCTTTTTATGACTTGAATGTTTGTGCGGCATAAGTCAACCGACAATTGACCGGACCTAATGATAATCGGTAGGCAACATCGGGGCTGAATAGATTTGTTGGAATTACAATTTATCCATTTGTTTTCGGTTTGACTAGAAATACATTCTTCAGGATAAATGTTACTGGTTTTTTGGTGGTTTAGGTATTTTTTTACCAAAACGAAATGTTCTCTCTCATGGCGAGTTTCAAAGAATTTTTTATTTACTTAATCATGAGGGTCTACATAACCAGGTTGGAAACAATCAAATTAAAAGTGAAAATGTAGTTATGTTTTTTTTAAAGAAAATTGTTCTATAATATGAAATGGAATTTTTTAGAGCTCAACCTCTTCTCATTTTCTATTCGTTCCAGCGCGTTGAGCCCGAAGGCAAAAATGAAAATGCGAGAAAGGACGAACCCTGTAATATTGATATAAGGTTGATATAAACTATTTAAAATTTGTTCCGGTTACCTTGAGAAGGAGCGTAGATATTCAAATAGAGGCAGTCTTCGCTCTGGTTCTGAAGGTATGGCAGCAGCCTCTTGAGGTATTCCAGACGGCCGCGAGGCATGCGTTCCAAAGCAGCCGTCTCGTTCCTGATATCCGGCAGCTTTTGAGGGCATACCGGCCCGAATTTATCTGTCATCTTGACACCTTCCCAAGGTGCCGCTGTGCGGGTGGGGCTGAACCTGTTGGACCCTGTGGGCGGGGTGGCGTAAGGCACTCCGAGGTACACTTCGATCGGCTTGAGGTGCCTCCCCGCTCCCATCGGCCGCAGGAAGCCTTGCACTTTACCGAAACGCGTTGAGATGACGCGAGTGAGCGTTCCACCGCCATCTGAGCCCTGTGTCGTCACTAAGCACAGTAGCATACACACCCACATCGCTTACTTCACTTCCCTCAGAACACGCAGGCTCACATCCCTCCAGCTCTCGACTTATTCCCCTTAAGGTAGAAATGCTTCATTGTTGACTGCGTGAGAAGCTCTTTCACCACTTCCAGTCTATCATCACTGCTCTTTTCTGTGAACAATAAAAACAATACATCAATTAAAAATAGGATTATTTCTACAATGAATTAATATTTATATTAACAATAACCTCAATATTACCCCACTCTGCAACGCAAAAAAATCATTTTGGCTTTTCACCATTTTCATTGGTAGATCAGTTTGTTATTGTTACAAACGTATAAAAGGCAATGTAACCTAATTGAATCTCAGCTTTAACAGCAATTTCGGACACAAAAATGTTCCTTCAAATAAAGTTATCTAAGTTTCAAATAAACGAGTTGTGTATATGTGTAATAAGAGAAGGATCAAAAATGATAAGAATAAAGGGGCCGGCAGAGGGGGGCGTGGTAGCCGAGTGATTAAGGCGTCAGACTCTCGGCTAGTAGATCCCGCGGACTTGGGTTCGATCCCCACCGTCGCCTGTAGACTTTTTCTGACGCCTAAGCGTACCGGTGGCGAAAGAAATTGACACAGCACTCATCAATGGGAGGAGCGGTATCAGATCTCAGCGACCCTGAATTTGGTCCCAACCCCCTTCAAAAATGAGTTTCTACTATGGAAGAACACTGGCACACCGGGGGCTCAAATTCACACTTGTGTTACGAGCCCCCAAAAAATGGAGCCAGGGATAAAATACAATAAGCTGTACAGCTGCAGTGCTCAGGAGGGAACTCCTCCAGTTCCTAGTATCCATTGTATCCATCCATCCAAGGGGCCGGCATGCAAAGAAAGGTTGCTCGGTGTGTCACCTAACTGAAGGGTGCAATTTTTGACTCTATAGACAGCGCGAAGGAAAGCCACCCCACATGTGAATTGTGCTTGAGCACGGCAGCAATTATCCAATTATCCGGGTAATCTGTTCCGCTTCTTCCCCCTAGGGAATGGGGTTGTTTCATTGTTTACAGTAATGATTAATTATATGTACCCTAGTGTGTGTTGAGATGAATGTATTTATTGGCGTGAATGTGTGGTATGTAGTGGAGTACTAATAACGGAATATTGAGTACTCATCGACCCTCAATCAAGTAAGATATATAATAGGTGTAAAATAAGACAGAGGAGTACACCACCCTAACTGAGTGAATGGTATGTAAATAGGAAACAATGTTTTTATGAGTCAGTGAGGGTGTGAATGGGAAACTGATTACGTTAGAGGTTGAAAAGACCTAGCTGTCAACAGTCCCTGAGCCCAACCCCAACTTCGGTGGCTAGACGCATAAGACCAAGTCTGACCCGGACTCCCAACACACGAGGAAGATTATTATCGAGGTCTACCAGTGTATCATTGTATAGTACAAAAGTTGGAATTGCCGGTGGACTGAGAGATGTGATGAGCTCAACTCTGTAAATGTGAGTGCATAGGTACATGCACGTGCAAACCTGAGCTTATTTAAATCAGCAGCACCATTAAGATGCTAGGATTTTCTCTAATTATCTGTAGTGTGTGAGAGATATGTAATAATATGAATGTCTAATTTGTACCATCCCGCAAGAACGTCAACCACGTGCCATGTTGCTAATTTTCTTATAATTCAATGTAATGAATGTAATGAACAATTCATAATGTTAATTTACAATGTGACTATTATAACAGAAATAAATAGCAATGATATAGCATAATCGTTGCCAAATCCTGAACCTTTCAATTGGCATAATACACAAAAATATACACCGTAATGACACACAAACATTGTTTTCGCCTATAAATTAGCTCGCTATTCTACACGATTTTTTATTAATTAAATTTGAATAACTTCAGCTTTTCAATTTTCTTTCCTTTCGGTTATATCTAAAAATTAATAAATTAATAAAAATAATAATAATAGTAAAAGTCAATACAATATTTAGGTAGAAAAAGATTTAGTACTGTGTCAAAAATTACTTGTATTTTTGTTTGGGCAGGGTACAAAACTACAATTTAGAATAAAAGGAATAAAGAAAAAACTTATAATTTGGCGTGGAGACAGTATGGAAAAAGGAATTAGTACTGAAGGTCATAGCGAGATTAGGTGAAACGGGATGAGCAATTTTGGAAAATGTTGAAAGAAAACTGAAAAAAAAAAGGGGGCGGTTCGTGATCATGGGTTGTGAAGAGGATAGAGAGGTGAGTCGAGAAGTGTTTTTTTATTTCGCAACAGATTGTTAAGGAACACATAGAAATCGAAACTGCTGGAAAATAACGGATGGTGAGGCTGAGGAGTGGATTGAAAGAGTTCAAGTGCATAGCCTATTTTGCTCTGGCTAAAATAATTGTCTTTCAAAATTATAGTTACGTGGGTGTTTTGTTTTCATTTTATAAAGAATAATTGAATTGTATAGTTCTGAGCGGAGAAGTCACTATAATGACCGTCCAATGTAGGTAGATCCAATCTAAGGTAAACACTTCTCACCGCAATCACTCGTGTCGGCGTTTCAGTCGGCGGTGGGGAGTTTCCGGAAGTGTAGTAGAGAAAATTTGTGTCACTAAAGGATTGAGTTGGATGACCAGTGAGTTTTGTTTATATGTTTGTTCAAATTTTTCAAATATTTTTCAAATCTAACAGTAAAGTATATGTTTCCAACACATTTTGTTCACCACGTTATTTTGTGAATGTCTTGATGTTTATCTGAAAATTACTTTAATTGATGAAAAATTCTCCTGTACTATTGGGCTAGTAATTTCAATTTTAAAAAAATTCATATCTGACTTGTCTTAGATGACGATTTGAAACATTTTTCAGCGTCTCTAAATATTCGAAGCACATTGTAAAACAATTGAATAAGGACTCCAAGTTCGATAAATTTTCTGCTTCGTTGGTAATTGTAATTATACACTCATCGCATTGAATTTTATTTTGTAACCGTTTTACAGCATGTTTTTAAAAAATTATTAAAAGTAGAAAAATAAATAATATTATTGGTAAATATTATTCCTAACAACAAACAAATGTTGTTTATAATAAAATATAATGTATTTAATGAAGTCTAAAACTAGTTTCGAAAACAATGAATACTTTCGGATAAATCCTATTCTTTGATTTCTGTTAGAAAAAAAAATTAAAAGACTAGCTATAAATAAGAACACAAATTGGTACCTAATTCCGATTCTCCGGCTTTGCATTCCGGCGGCTTCTGTATATTTGTGGTTAAAAATCAACATTATCAGGTTATGCGGTGAATGACAGATGGCATGCTAAAGGTAAAAAGAGAACAAACAAACGCCGTCAAATGCACCGAAAAGAATAGCTCAGCTCACATTTATCCACGAAAAGTTATCAGAACAAAATACACTTTAAATAAAATTAAAGAAAATTATAAATTTGATTAACGAGGAATTCTTTACATGGGACTTAAAAGGGCGTCTTGGAACTATTATTGTAATAACTTAATTAACTTTATACTTACTAACTTAATTAACTCATAATAACATTATTTATTAACTGCGAAGTTTCAAATAAATAAAAAAGAAATGTGTTGTTTTTTGTTTAGTTCACTAACACGGCAATGTATTGACGACATTATTGACGAAAGCCGCAAAATTCTCAAATCGACCTTTAATACATGAACGACGTGGGACAAAGTCCTCCGCCGTCAACACACAACCCAGTCTAACACACCCATCTCTAACTTTCAATGAAAAGCACATAAAACAAACAACAAAATGAAAGAAAATTATAAATTTGATTTATTAACGACGAATTCTTGAAATCAGACTTAACAGGGCGTCTTTGAAATTACGAATATTAGAAAAGAAGTCCATCCAAACAGAGGTAAAAGGTTCATTCCAGATGGTGGAGATTACATATGAAATTAAAAGAATATATCCTTATGCTTTAACACATTAATTTTGTTACTGTTTGTGGTTGCTAATTTTCCAAAGAGGAGAATACAGGTTTAATAAGAACACGAGTTCCGTTCCATGTTAACCATAAGTCCTGATTCGTTATTGATTACAATGCCAGGCCGTACATTGACAAATGCGCAACGGATTACCTTAAAACCACAGAGATTGTAAGGATTCGGAGGCCTGCAATGAATCCTGACTTGACTCAACATATTTCACCTCCTCCAGTCACGAACCTTGCCGGTTTAAAACCTCTGTGACGTAGAATGACGTTTCATAGAATTATCCAAAAATTGTTTTGAGGGTAAGACAAGACTGAATTCTTATAGCATTAGAATAAATTAAGAGATAGATAATTATTTTATATATTTTTTATACAATTTTATAACACTTGCTGTTATACGATTGCGCAATCAATTTCTCATCCTCGTAGCGGTTTATTAACTCCGTAGTCTTAAATAAATACAAAGGGAATGTGTTGTTTTTGTTTAGTTCATGAACACGCAAAACGTATTGACGACTTTACTAACGAAAGCCGCAAAACTCTCAAATGGACCTTTAATATATGAACGACGTAGGACAAAGTACTCCGCCGTCGACACACAACCGAGTCTAATATACTTATCTCTAACTTTCTATTGAAAAGCACATAAAGCAAACAATATTGATAGAGAATTGAAGGGGAAAAAGACCTTATCAAAAATAACAAATTCTGACTCTCATCGTCCCGAAGATTAATCATGATAAATAATAATTTAAACATTAATTTAAGTACGTAGGAAAATAATATTTTAGTATTAAATCCATTTCAGTTCGTGGTCCGATTGACCAATTAACATTTTTCAATTAACTAATCTTTATGAAACGTATTGGTTGAGTTAAAAACGACAATGTCACGAGCGGGATTCGAACCCACGACCTTCGGCTAAATACACAGAAACTGTATCACTTGAGCTATGGTGACTTCCATCTGCTCGGATACCAACCTCCCATCTCAACCGCACCTCTCGAATTTTCCCTTCTTTTTGCCAATTTTCAAATGTCGTGTAATCTATTTGATTCTCGGCGACAAATGAAATGGCCACGGAGTGCTTTCGTGAAGATATACTTCAGTTTAATTATTAATATTTATTTAGAAATCGTGAGATGCGGTCTGGTGTGTTGTAGGTTTCAGTAAAACATTTTCT